TCATAAAAGGGGCGTGTTTCCGACGGGAAGTGATGTTTTTCGTGACGTATCGTGACGTTTTCATCCGAGTTCCGACTTGGAGAGAAATAATCGAACGCACCATTATTTAAGCTGGCTGCCAAACCAGCCAATATCTGAGCTGCTTTCTGGTGGCACTGTCTCACTGCCTACGTTTCTTGGCCTCTGAGAGGCTAAGGCATGAGTCAGTATCAAGCTTCGGGTCCCAAAAGACGGGGCCTCAATCTCCGTTCACCCTCTTCCCTGATTCTCCGAATCTTGCTGACTTTCTCGGCAGAGACGAGCATTAGAATCAAAGGCATCTTTTGGGCCAAAGGGTATAGAGGTTATTTTTACAGGTGATAATGAGGGCCCTTCAGATAAAGCCACAGGCGAATAGCACATTCAAGGTTCCACGGATAGCCATTTGCAGTCCCTGATAATGCTTCAGTGAGCAGGATGGTGACACAAGTCACAAGATGGAATTCCGTGAGGTTCTGTAAGTGTCAACACTTTTATGTATCTAGTGTCCAAATTTATCCGAGAGCCACAGGATTCAAACTGACGTCTAGCAGTCCTGCACTTCTGAACAGTGTCTTTTTCTTCAATCTCGCCATCTGTCTATACGGTACATATATCATACACTGAGCTATTACATGGTTATCATAGTCCTAATAGCCATCAGTCATTTCTGTAATATATTCCAACCGTATTCCTTGGTATAGATGCACACAAGCAAACAAAACCCTACCCATTAAAGATACTAATGAATGTATGGTTTTCATGCAACCAATTTCTTTCCCATTCACACTGCTTTCAAGGGACTTACCCATAAACCATTGTGTTCTCTTCCAGTGACCATCATGGTTGTCAGCATACTTCATCAAAGCTGGATATGCCGTAAAAAGCGCATGGATGGGAAGTTCGATATGGTGCCATCGGCCTTCCTCATCGCCGCAGTGATGGTCTGTGTGCCTGGGAGTAGGACACTGTGCCTCATGAGTGATTAGGTCGTCCTAAATAGAGCACGGCGGATGATGGGCTATCAGATGCTACAATGCATTATTACACTGCCAGTTTTTATTTGCTGAACTTAATAGAAATAGATTGTGAAATAGGGACCCTTTCATGTTTAAAGCTGGGGTTTCCTATGTAAGCAGGGAGAATTAAGTGATCGTGTTTCAAAGGCTACATATACAGTATCGGTCTGTACACTTAATGATAAAGGTTACATGTACAGTATCAGTCCGTACACTTAATGATAAAGGTTACATGTACAGTATCAGTCCGTACACTTAATGAAAATGGTTGCATGTCATTATCAGCACACATAATGAAAATGAAGTTTTTTAAAAATGCTTTACAACACATTTTTTCGTAATGCTTTACATTAACTGCACCTTCATAATGCCTTTATGATGCATTCATAGAACATTCAGTGCACCTTCATATAGCACATCTGCGAGTCCTTGAGCGAGGCCCTTAACCCCCAGCTCTCTGGGTGCTGCTGTGGGTGGCTGCCCTTCACAGCCAGTCTGCTCTCACCTACAGAGAGCAAGTTGGGGGAGGCATAAAGTGGGAATCAATAAAGTATCTATTATTATTATTATTATTATTATTATTATTCTCTATAACAAAATGCTAATTGCTAAGTGGTGCTGGCATTTTCAAATACCAGCCTTGTGTTTCTCCCTGAGATTTATTTTATATCCAAAGAGTCGGAGATTTGACCCAGCAGCATCACTGTTACCTGATAAACAGGGCTGCTCTCGAAATATACTGGGTAACCCAGAGCTTTGGAGGAAGAACACCTTGCCGATTTCTGCCCATCCAGCTCCGTGTGTCGAGGTGACAGTAGGGACAGTATAGCTCTGCTGACACATGTAGGCTGCGCCTGCAAATATTCCAGACACAGGCGGGATTCCATCGCCCTGAGGCGGAACAGACAATGCGTCCAAAAGCAATACGAGGGATAAAAACATCCGGTTTATAATCTCATTGTTTTACGTCACACAGAGTATGCTGTGCCTGCACGGGATGTGGACGTACAGGGGCATAGGAACCAGGGGGGTGGGGAGAGATGTGGACCCCTTAATATTTAATGTGGTTTCATTCTTTCCTATGAAAAATTTGAACTTTACGTATAAATTATTAAACCACATCCCTCCCTATGTCATACTACGCCATTGTGGGCAGACATAGAACAAGGTGTGAGTGGGTAAGGGTGCCATCAGCCCTGCCCCCCCCCCCCTTAAGACAGATTGAGGGAGGGATGAACTCTCACAAAACTGCGGGGACTCAGGGGAGGGGACTGAACTCAATTGATTTACTCACTTATGACCCAGGAGAATTAAAATGAAATGATTGAAACAAATTAATCTTTAATTATAATTAAGATTGGCTGAATGGACTGACTGTGTCATTCCCCAGGTGGAAAGCTGCCAGGATGCTCATGCAAGCCCCCCCTTTAAGATGGCCTGCCTCACTGAACACAAGGGCCCCACATTCCAGCCTGCGGGAAGTGAAGTTCACATCCCAGGCTCAAAAACTGCCTAGAGAACAATCCGGAAAAGCCTCAGCTGTTGAGTGAAACTTCGATGCTTTGTCATGTTTGTCGTCTGAAGTTTTGCCAAGAGTTTGTTGGACCACACAAGCAGTGCAGAAATAACTCATCCCAAATACTTGCATATGACCCCCATCAATCTCTGATGCATGTATCCCCAAGACAGGCTCATATCTAGGAATAAAATTGACTACCTGCCAAGAAGATCCATCCCTCCAATCACACGGCTGTATGAAGGTTGTAGAACCGTGGGCCGAGGAGACACTGTAACCATACGTGATGGCAGCTCCAGACAGGCAGGGGACGCCATGAGCGACAGACAGAGAGCTCCGCCCAGTTTGCAGTATCTCGGTGAGGTGTGGCCATAAGTAAGTTATCCAGGAAGTTGGAGGGGAATGCAGGCAGGGTGATGCGTGGGGGGGTTAAATAACGGATTGTATTACACTTCATTTTCCCAGCAGCACAAAATAAACTCCCCAACTTGAGTTTCCCATCCTGCAGGTGCCGGCATTGATCAGGTTGAGTCATGACAACATTGTGTTTTCCAAGACGTGTCACAAACACTCTGCGCATCCATCCATCCAGCGTGCGGACAGTGCGCTTTCAGCCTCGCTAGGGGGAGGCCATTAAACCCAGCTGGGGGGGGGGGTTCTCCTCTGGATACAGCGAATCTCCCCTCTCCGTGATTCCCCTGCTGCCCGCCCATTGGATGTAAAATAAACAGCCCACGCCAACTCACCAGAGCTACAGATAAAACCGGTTTCCGTGGCGATGTGATTTGCCCTGTCAGGTGCAATTTTTGGTCACGTGACAGAACAAAGGACAGTGTGGACTGCAGGATGGAGCTTCATACCATAACGACAGGAAAACAGCACGACTCCTTCCCTCGTTACTCTGAGAGAGAGGAAGTGTAACATCAATGGATGCAAAATCTTGTTTGCGTTTCCAGTTTTCTAAATATAAATCACATTTATAGAATTATAAATGCGTCGTGCAGGCTGACTGCTGGTCACCCAGTTATATCTGAATGTCAGACTCCTGTTTAAGAGTGGGACTCGTTAACTAAGGCTGAATAGTGGATGTTATACATTTATATTGTATTTGTATTTAGATGTAGTACCATAGGTTGCCCAAGGGAAATGGTGTTTCAATGCACTGTCTACGTCTACATGGCTGTGTTGACAGTTATTTCTTCGCCAAAAAGAGTCGAGACCCCCCTAGAGGACAGCAGAGCGGGCCTATGGTTCAGCCCCCTGGGTGTTTTCACAGCATGGTGTCCAATCGACCACGGCACATCAGACTGGAAGCAGGAAGCCTGTGTGGGTGGGGGTGAGGTCTGCGGGACAGGGCTCCGTGGGGGATTACAGCCTCCAGGTAAGTAAGTATACTGGCTGAAGTTCAGCCACCAAGTGGGGGGGGGGGAGAGGAGGGAGAGAGAGAGAGAGAGAAGGATGGAGAGAGAGACAGAGGGAGAGAGCACTAGCTAGGCACTAGTTATCTTAGGGAAATCTTTGAATCAGGACATGTAAAACAGCAAAAATAGGGTCAGTAAAGTCTGTTGAACTCCTACTTTATAGTCATTTTAAACCATAAGGATTAAGGTTCCTGTCTGAGCAGGATAGAGGCTGGACATAGCAGGTGCACCTCATTAACAAAGGTGACACGTTTGGGCGGGGCTACCTTTGCATTTCCTGCCACAGCGACCCTCCCACTTCAGCGCTAAAGGGCGATTGGCCTACAGTCGCTCGTCAGCTGTCGCTTCCCGTGAAGCATGCATTGGCCCTTTCGTGGCTGGATATCCTCGGACCACTCCGCCCTTCGACCAGCCTGACGGCAATTCAGTACAGCAGATGGAGGATGAGGACGCAGCATTTACACCGCAAGGTTACAGGGGATTTAATGTCGAGCAGGGAATTTCAGTTTAATTGGTTTCATGAAATACCCATCTTAGCGAATGGATCACACTGTAACTTGCTTCGGATGAACACAACAAGCGAAGTGGAAGATGAACTCTGAAGCTCACATCCTGTTTTCCATCCCCTACTACAGAACATCCCGTACTGGTTCCATTACCTCCGGTGTATATAAAAATACACATTTTCTTCAGGTGCTTTTGTGTGCCAATATGAAGCCGTGCCAGACCTCGTTACTGGAGCAGACTCAGACCAGAACAAGTATTATTTTGACTTTCAAACAATCACTTACACATGCAAATGAGTTTGTTGAACATCTTCTGTTCAATTTTTTTTTATTCTGATAAAACAGACGATTAAATTATGTACACGTAGCTGCACAAGTGTATTTTAGCGAGAACACAGTGGACTTTATAAGAATTAGATTCTTAAAAATAAGTTTATGGAGCAGAAAATATGGTAGCACAAAAAAACAAAAAAACGCGTGTTCTAATTTTGTCGTGTGTGAACTAAATACATTTATTTAGTTCAATTAAGTTTTGCTTCCTTTAAAAAGTGACAGAACGCTGTTTATCATGAGCAATAATCTGTCTCATGTGACGGGTCTTTATTCCCACATACTCTGAAGTAAGAGAATAATGAACAAAATCAGCCAGTTTGAGCTGGCAAGGGGACGGACCTCACATCTGCACGGCTGTTGGAATGGTCTCTCAAGGATGCACAATGTCACAGGAGCTAGAGAAACCCCAGCTGGAGCGGAGATGGTTTCTCGGGGGGGTTACAGGGTGCTACTGGCTTTACCTGGAGGACTCTGCATACCATATGGCCCCATGTTTGGATTCTTGATCTGAATCCCAGCCTCCACCATTGTTTTCGAGGCCCCTCTCAGGACCCTGGGCTGAAGAACAGATGGCACTTTGTTGCTGGAGCTGTCAGTCCGAAGGGCACCTTGAAAAGGCCTCACGCAAGCAATGAGGGATTCCAGTGGTCATCGGAAAGGACGGTGCGATCGGCAGAAGGTAGACGATGTAGGTACAGGTGACCTCATTGCCACTGAGGTTTTTTTTTCTCTCTCTAACGTCTACTTTGTGGGTCTTTAGGGATCCTTTGTTTTCTACTCCTTACCTGTCACCCTCTAGCTGTGGATCCGGAAAGGCCGATGGTCTCACTGGGACTTTTTTTCTCTCCCTTTTTCTTTCACTCCACGTGTCATAATCCAGAAATATCCGAGTCAACATGGAGACATCCCTGCCAACGTCAGCCAGAAGTCATCGGATGACAACGAGAACCTAGTCAGAGCAAGAACGGGCCGAGTCTGCAGCTGTCACTGTAGTCTCGCTCGTGAGTTTTACCCTGGTAAGCTGCGGGGGAAAATAACATGCCACAGTGATCGCTGACAGAAAGGGGGAGGCCTTGATGTCCAGTTCTGTGTGGACGCCTACAACGCTGCTGCTGACAGATAATATTACAAGGCTTAAGTCTTCTTGAGACTGCAGTCCAGAGGTCAGCCAAGTCGGCGAGCCGATTTTGACACCATGCCACAAACTTAACGGGAGTCATCGTGCCATTTCAGCGAAATCAGCAGCTGGCGACATCCTGACCCTGCCACGGGACGCGACGTCATCGCGCTCTCGTAGGTGCCAGAGAAGGTCAGGTCCCTTTTATGGAGACCACTCCGCCCCAATACCTTGACGACGAGTTGTCTTGACGGCAGGCTTACATGATTTTTGCGACGTATGACTTTCTTGAATTGCTATTTTGAGAAATGAAAACTAAATGAAACAAAATGGTAACACTTTACTCGACAGGGCACAAATAGCACAGTACAGGAACTCCTCTACTTACTAACTTTCAACTTACGAACTTTCCGACATACGAACGAAATTGTGTTCATTGGGCTCCTGTTTCCTGTCCGCAACATCAAATTTTGTTCTGCGCGCCAATTCCGCCTAGTACGAATTCTGGCCGCTGCTCCCGCCGCGCAGCATCTTAGCGTGCGTACTCCCAGCAGCCCAGTTCTTTATACTTGCATATCGGTAAGACGTGCTCTCTTAAGATCAAAGGTTACTTCGTTTTTATTGCGAAATATTCTATGCATCCATTATCCATCATGTCCATTTTCTAGGACTAAGGCTGGACAAAGTGCTGCAGATGAAACGTTTACTGCACACCCTCCTCCTCCTCCTGTCATCCATCACCTCAAGCCTATTTCACCAGTTCCAAGGTAAGAAACCCAACATTAAAGTATTATTATTACAATTTATTTTATTTATATTTTTTATGTATCATTAGTAATGTGTTCTAGGATAAGAAAACATGTTTTGACTTTATATCATACTTACGCATGTAGACTTGAGTACCTTTAAAATGATGTTGAATAACGACTTACGCACATTTCAAGTTACGAACGTAACGTAGTTGGAACGTAACTCGTTCGTAAGTAGAGGAGCGTCTGTATTGTGCTATCACTTATATGTTAATTAACCACAAACTAAACCCTAGTTACATACTGACCTCATGTTAATTAATCATTAATGAATCGTGATGCATGTTTCCTGAACTACTAAGGAACTACTGAAGGAACAAGTCATGAATAACACATGTGAAATACTTGATCTCATGTTTGTTCATCATTAATGAATTCTGATGCATCTTTTACGTGAAGTAGCAACTATATTTGTTCGTGATTTGTTCATTATTTGTACTTCAGTAGTAAGTGAATTATCACTAAGTATTTGTGCCCCATCAAGTAAAGTAATAGTATTTCTGGATTCTGGACAGTGCTCCGATTTGAAGTCTGCCCATACATCTTGCTTGACTAGCTGTCAAAAGGTGATTCTACCAGCCTCCGAATTAAGCACTTTCTTTTCTGACTGTCCATTCTGGATTGACCTTACAGGTCATTGACCTCATCTCATTTACCTCTCTAGGTTCATTAAGGCTATATTTGGAGCAGCACATGAGGGAGAGAGTCCACTTCAGACAGAACAAGGATAAGCCCATCAATCTACTGACCTGCAGCAGCAGTTTGTCTTTGGGCTATCTGTTAGCAGTGTTGAGGACACCCTGGTATCGGATACTGCCACATACTTACGTAGCTGCAAATGTATAATTTATTTGTTCAGAAATGAGAACACAGAAAGTCTTGAAATGTTTGTGTTGAGGAGTACATCAGCGTAAATCATAGGCCGGCATGATTGAATTATTGCTGCTCTAAGGCCTTTTAAATCATACTGCTGGACAAATTTACCCAGAGCTTCAGTCCATTTCAAGCCACTATGGGTCATGTGACAATGTCTTGGCAATTCTGGTTGATTTTGATTACTCTAAGGTACATGTTTTCTTCATTAGAGTCCATCAGCCGCTGATGACATATTATTACATTCTGAGAACAAGGCCTGGACTCTATAAAGCTCTCATAAGAGCACAGATAAACCCAATTAGATAAATCTCTCTCTCTCTCTCTCTCTATACCTTCTTTATCCCCAGCACCTGTGGAAGGAACAAAAATTTCACCGTTTTCCTTAACATATGACAATACACCTTGAAACCTGAATTAAAGCTGGAACTTTTAAAATTTCATTTGTAATGAAAAAACAACAATAACGATATGAATGTAATGTGTGCAATATACATTTAAATGCCTCACACACACGAGAATCCTCTACCTTAGAGGTGTGCAAATACAGCACTAACTGCAAATTAACCTGTAAGTAAGGATGCTTATGTAAATTACCATAACAAGAATGTCAACTGTGGGCGTCCTTAGGTCCGATAACTAGGGGCAATCTTAAGCCTAGCCCCGAGTATTGTAGCCCCGATACCAGTCTTCCTTAAGAGACCAGATCCTTAAATACCACTCCCTCCCCCATCTCAACTATGTTCAATACCAACAAAAAGATCACGTGACAAAAAGCACACCTAACAATGACCAAAAATGACCAGAGAATATTTAGCAGAATGACAAGCGTTTGTCACAAAGCAGAAGGAAAGTAAGAATTCAGATAAACTAAATAGGCACACCACACACGACGTTAGGTTATTCCATGCTCAGCGGGAGGGGGCGTTTGCATCTGGGGAGCCGGTGGCCAGTTTTGGCGATTTATCTTACCAATTCTTCATTTTGGTGATCACTATTTCACTGATCACTATTTCCCGGCCTCTATACCTCGCCTATATATACACCGTGTTTCCCCCAACGGCACCGACACAGAAAGGAAACAGTCTTGGCATTTCCCCGGGATAAAACGGCCGGGGTCCGACCCAAGTCAGCTTATCTGCTTACGGCTTGACTGTTGGCGGTGCAGATATGCGGTTTAACCCAAGAGCAGCGCTGCGTGAGGCCAGCAGGACCTGCGGCATCACCGGGACCCCCTTCCCGCAGAAATACCCCACCCACTGGCCGAAGACGAAAAAATATGGCAATGTGGCTGCCGAGTTTAAGAAAACACACTTGCACATACAGTACAGCTTTCACTCACGCACTCCATTCGGTTAATTATTCCATATCATCCCCTATAATTGGGTAGAAATTGCGCAAGTATGGATCCCTAAGCGCGCTCTTTTTTACAGCAATCGATCCTATATTTAGTGAACTGTTTTTCGCGGAACCTTGGCGTGTGTTTGTCAATTACGATGCAGCAGGAAGCGACCGGTAGGGTTTTTCCACTGCGCCTAATTAATATGTTTTGCTGAGAAGAGAACCTGACTGATGAGAGACCTGTAACACCCACTTCCCTTCCTTCCTCTTTTGCGTTTTCCTTCCACCAGAAAAAAATTAAATAAAATCACGACGTCAATCTGACTTCCAGAAACGCTTGACACCAGGTAGGCTACCATAAAAGAAAAGGCAAGGCAGATTTTTTTTAATTAAAAACGCCAGAAATAAGACCCGACTATTGGGGTTCCATGGTGACAACTGTAGTGAAATCGGCTCCTTCGTGACGCTTCTACATGCCAAAACTGATCGAATTACCTGCAATTTCATCCAGTCTGAGAGAGTGATTTGGCTCAACAGCGACAACCAAGTACAAATTAAAATACTTTTCGGGATATTAGCCATGTCTGTCATGATCGCTACATTATCCAAATGCTTTCAAGGAAATGCTTTAAGGTACACGTTGAATGCATTAATATTTAGGCACTACTAATGCACGCCATGTAGTTCTACAGGGAAATCAAACTCCACCAAGGCCAATTAAGACGGACTAATAACACACGTGAGATCCGTCCTCTGCAGAACTATGATAAGTATAAATCATATTCTCACGTTATCATGGGCTGAAGCCCCCCCTGCTATCTTACGACAGTGAGGATGGGGGTCCCCAGGGGAGTGCCGGGAAGTCCGCGCATTAAAGCGCCCCGCTCCCACAGTTTTCCAGCACAATGTGAACTGATTAGATATTACTGACTTCATTGTAATTAACAGGGAGCCAGGATCGAAATTCATTGCGTAAACTAGCTTTGACTGTTTACAGTCCATCAGCTACGTGTTTAGGTGTACAGTACGTGTTGATTTGCAATGTTTGCCGTCTGATCTTGGTTTCAACATTTGTAGTCTATTTTGTCACATGTTTTCTACATTTAAAGTATTCATGGAAGAATGATATAGCTGGGCACCAGCTGTCTCTCGGTGCATGAGAGTCATCCAAGCACACTCTGGGTTTTTTAATTGGTTTATTTCTGTGATAGTGGATCAAAGGGGAAAGAAAGCGGCGATTCAGTGGTTTTGCGAGTGTTGGTTTTTACCCCTCGTCCTATCGGCTACCCAGCGCGCACCAGTATAAAGAAGGAGGCGAAGGCGCTCTTTACCTGAAAACATAATACGTGGGACCGCTTTGCTCCCGGGCGTGTTTTAAACAAAAGAAAACAGCATGCAACTAACCACTGGAGTCTGATATTGTGATCCACCTATGTTAATACCAACAAAAGACATTTTTCACGAATGTGTGTATTATTTAAAGCACAATACGTTCTATATGGTGGAACTACGACGAAGAGAAAATATGCTGATCTGTGTCAAGTGTGAAATAAATTAAATTCCCTTCAAAGCTGAAATCTACTGAATCCCCCTCGCGAGCAATTTAATAGGCTATCAACGTTTATAGAGATCAGATCGACGCCGGTTAGGACTGGTTTTTCTGAATGTGGAAATCACACTTATTTTAATGCATGCACATTACGAGAGGTGTTCATGTGATCTTTCAGTCGGGGGAGGGGAGGACCCCCCACGTACACGGAACTCCCAGTGTTTGCGGTGCTGCTGATCGCCCCTAGTTTCGGGCATTAGGTCTTATAAAGGCTCAGGACTCGCCGCGGCATCGCGTGTCCGCTCCACACTCAGCCTTTACTGTGAAGCTCCGTGCTCCAGCATCGGCGACTTTCCACGGCTTTCGTCCACACCCTGTACTCCGATCCGACAGGCTCCTTGTACGTGGAAGAGATCAGAGCATGAGGCGCGGGGGGCGATGAACGGCGACCCGTGCGCTCCTTTGTAAAGCCCGCTTCTATAACTGCGAGGTTGACGGCTTTTCCACCTCGCCGATATCAAAGAAGCCGCCTCAGGTGTTTCCCTTTCTTTATGTCTGAGCGCGTTTAATTTCTTTCCTTCAAAAAAACACAAAAAGGAGCGAGAGAGAAAGAGAGAGAGAGAGAGAGAGAGAGAGAGAGAAGAAAACAAGAAGATGAAGGGTGCTGGATTCATTTTCATTTATGTGAAACATCTTGCCAGTCGGTGTTTTTCTGAAATGACACACAATGCGTTTTCCGCGCAGTAGGGCGACCGCGGCGATCTGATGTGATTCGTGGTCGGGACTTTAATCTATTTCGCTATAGTGATCGGCTGTTGTTATGATGTGACGGCTCCGTGCAGAAATTAGACGGGGGGGCTGCTCTGAAACGGGAGTGCGGTTTTTTATTAAGTGACAAGCGACCGATCCTGCTATGTTCTCCATCCAGCCAGACTAAGGAGCACCTCCCTTCGTTTGAGACCAGATCCTTAAATGACCTACTGTTGAAGGCACCGCGATCTATTGCCCAGATCATGGCATGTGGCTCATTTCTGATTTCGACGAGCGCGGCGCCAGGGATCAATAGAGAAAATGGGCATCAGATCCAGAAATGTTGGTAACAGTTCGGAAGAACAGCGGGAGAAGAAGGCAGGCTTGTCCGGCGACTTGGACCAGGGAACCGGGGCTGATAAAGATGGAGCCCTTCTGCTGGTTGGTCCCGGCAAAGCCGATTTCAAAAGGGGGTCTCAGGGCATCGGACTTTTAGCAAAGACCCCTCTGGGCTACACGAGACCTGTAAAGCGGAATAACATCAGGAAACGCAGGGTGCAGAACCTGATCTACGACGCGCTTGAGAGACCGAGAGGATGGGCGCTGCTCTATCACGCTTTTGTGTAGGTACACCCCCCATCCATCGCTTAAAACTTGCCAACCTGTGCATGCTTCCCAACTTGACGACCGGCCCGCATTTGTGGGAACTAGGATGCTTACAAATAAACGAGCCGCTCCCATGTACGTCCTTCCGTCTTTAAATTATCAGTCACAAACACACCGGGATGGAAAACATCTGTAATGTGACGAAGATAACGAATAAGCGCTCCAGTTAGGAAATCGCGCAGTAAAGAATAGCATCTCATGATCTGATGTGTATTGTTGCGAAATCAGATTAGAGGCAGCAATAACTCTGATTATGTGATTTTATAGTGTGGTGTAGTGCTTTCTCCGGTGATAACTTGCACTTGTTACCGGGCATTCGCTGGAAGCTTATCCTAGACGCACTTACGCTTAGCTGGCTTCTTGACAGCTTTATTCTTCTAACGCGCTATATCTGCCTCGCTTGCGCTTCTCTTTGGACAAAAGCGGCTGCCGGACTGATGTAAATTTTAGATGCTACTGCGTGCAGAAACAAGGTTAGACTCAGTAATGACAGTTTCCGTGTCTAGCGGGATTGTTATGGAAGGAAACAAGGATGTTATTGTTAACCAATGCAGGATAGGTAGCGCATTACTGAAAGTGCTGTCATCATAACTGATCTCTGCAGGAATATTAGGAGAAAATTATTTGTGTAGTATGACGCATCGTTTCTCTGAATAGATTAAGAATCTATCATATACTGACACAGTATCTTCTTTTGAGGAAGTTTGGATTGAACCAGTTTTTCCAATCCTAAGCAAATGACATCTTACTTAAAATGAGCTTATTGATAGTTACCAGCTATAGTTGCCTGAGGAGGGTTGGCGAGGGATAGATGTGTCTGAAAGCTTACTTATCTTGCAATTTTGAGCTTGAACATGCATTTCCTGGTGTGTAGATAAGTTTATGAAGTCTAACTCCACCCCCCCACCTCACCACTGCCTCTTCGAACCACAGGGACCCAGGAACTTGGGGTAGACTGGCTGGTGGAGTCCCCGCCCCTTAAGGCGGGGCTGTGGCTGGTTCCTGGTGCCCTCTGCACCCCATCCCCACATCACTTACTGGTGGAGTCCCCGCCCCTTAAGGCGGGGCTGTGGCTGGTTCCTGGTGCCCTCTG